CATTTTGTATAAAAAAATCAAATTATTTTTAGTTTAATATTTCAAACATACCAAAATATTTGTTGACACCAAGGATGTTGAGTATACGTAAATACCAATAGATACAATCAACACAATATATGACGCGACCTACATCTAACGTCGAATATCGTAAACGTAATGCTAGTCCGATTTGAAAAAATATAATAGCAGCGGCATCGCAGGGGTTCCACATATTCCATGCCCACACGCTAAACTTATGTGAAAGCATCGCAGGTTCCGAGGTTGCTATTTCTCGTATTTTTTCACATCCAAGAGTACAGATATATGCAATAGCATACATTTCGGCTAATGATGGATGATCATCCATATGCATCAAAATGCAGTATGAGAAAAAAAGCAAAAAAATAATATATGCAATCTATAAAAGAAGTATTTTTATTTTACATATTGTTTTATTACAACCGTTTATATTAATAAACATAAATATTTCAATAAATAAATATACAAATACACATCATCCACATATAAACATTAAGACAATAAATACATATAAATACATATAAATATTCTTACTTACAGCGTTTGCCCAAAATTTTGTTATTGGAGCAGTATAAAACTCATATAATTTCTTCCTCAATTTTAATGGTCTGGTTGTTTTATTATCATAATATTCAGATCGAAGACCGTAAGCGCGATGTATTTCATCATCAATGTCCGTTAGTACTTTTCCATTTTCTTGAACAATCGTCTCTTTGATTATTGTATTGTGCTCATTGCTAATTAAAGCCTACAGAAAAACATAAATAACTTAGAACTATTCAAATTAACTGTTCATATACTGAAAATATTCTTATTAAATATTATTAAATAGTGCATGATTAAATAAATATTGATTCAATTTGAAATGTTTGGCGAAAAAAGGAAGAAAGAAATTTAATTCAATTTTACAACAATTCACGAGAACATGACAAATAATAGAAATAAGATAAAGTTGGATAGAATAATAATTATCAAATGTTTATGATGAATGTTTACACATTTTATAAAACATGAAATTGATCAATATTTTGGTCTAAAAATTAACATTGGTATAAATGAAATCAAGGATTTAATCTTCAATTTATATATACTAATAAACAAATATTACCTTATATGTATATATATATATACTTTCCTAATTTATTATAGTATACCCACCGAAATTCCGGATCATCTGAATGATACAAGATGTAGGAAATTTATAAAGATATAAAGGGATTATACAATACTGTTTGTTCAAAAGCTATAAACAAAATTCAAAAAGTAATGTCTTATTTCTATATTAAAAATTATCCTATATCCTTCCTGGGGGCGTTCGATTTTCCACACGAAGAGAGGTCCACTTTATCTCTTCCCTCCCCCCTTCCCTACTTAAGGGTACATTACTTTTTGTGCAAAACGAGATCCATAAGTTGTGATAGAGCAAAAGTGAGACTTCTAATCCCCCGCAGAAGTTATCACAGGATCTATGATCCAAAATCATCGCATAGTACTATAATTCTTTTCTTGAGAAAAACCAAGCAGAATAATATAAAGAAGAAGAAGAACAAGGTTCATCCTCTCTATCCAAAAGCGCACAACTTTTCACACGAAACGAGATCTATCCCTATCATTCTCCTTCCCCCCTTCTCTCTGCCAAGAGAAGTAATGATTTTCCATATAGATGGATTTTGTTTCGCCTGAAAAATCCTACATCCCTAGGCAAGTGGAAATCAAATATCACTAGACAATGAGAGAGTGGTGAGTTGGACTTCGCTTCGCATGGAAAGTCATTACGTAAGCAGGAAAGAATGTGAAATAGTCCTGAATATTGTATGTGACAAAAATAAAATATTATTTTTTAAAATAATATTTTATTTTTTCTTGTTAATCTTTTCTTGTTAATAACTTTTTAATGAATAAGAGAGATTTGAGTAATAGCTCAAACCTGTTAGAGGTCACTCAAGGTCATGACTTTGACAACATATGTTAAAATCATCTGGATTTGCTCCTCTTTTTATGTATTTTTACTTTTTTTGCATTAAAACTATTTGTAATTTGCTTTGTAATTTTTAGGTACTTAAAATGTTTTGTATATTAAAAAAATTTCTATCATTATTGTAACGTTATTTAATAGGTTGTCAAATTGCCTCACGTTTATCTCACTAAATATAATCTTCATTAAACATAATATTTGCAGCGAATTTTGCGGTAAATTATAATAAAATATTTTCTCCGTATATTTAAGATTTACATAATCTCAACTAACTGTACAGTGGATATATCAAATTATATAATATTATTTCACAGTAATCTCATTAATGTAATTAATACAATTTATTTCGTAATTTTTTAAGTATTTAATGTTAATAAGTTACTGCAATTTCATGAAAAATTTTGTGTAATCAAAACATAACTAAGAGCATCTGGAATTTTTATGACTAAATCATCATACTGTAGTTTCTAAGATTCGAAATAATTACCTCGATATCTGGTCCTGTTGGTACATTGTGTTCGGAATCACTATCTTCTTTCTCATCTTCTAAAGCTATCAGATGTTCTTCCTGCGTTTGGGGCATTAGTTGTAATTCTTCTCTACTTTTAAACTCCAGTCGAGTTATATATAGAGGACAAAATAATCCCATAACCACCTAAGAATATTTTAAATACATGCATACTTTAGATATTAAATTCGATTATTTAATAGAAAGATTAGTTACAAAAGATTAATTTAACCTTTAAATTAGTATTTTTACGTGTACGAAGGCCACCCATCCATAAATCGGCCAAGATAATTTGACTGCAAGGATGTGCTAATAATGGCCGATGATTTGCTGTAACCGCGAGTGATAAGCATGTTTGCCCTGACCAATTTTGAAGTTCGGAAGTTAACAGTTGCTGCGTCTGATCGTCGTCTTGTCGATAGCAATAATCCAATAATTCGACCGCTAATATTTGAAAAAAAAAAAACATACAATTTACAGTTAATTATGTAATATATTTCATATCTACAATTAATCATTCATTTCGTATTTATGCATACCAATGTTTTCAAATTCTTTGCCATAACCGCGCAATTCATCGTAAACTTCAGTTTCCAAATCATCCTCAGCCGCTTCATGTGCCATCGCCTTATATAGTTTTAACGCGACAAGCGCTTTAGCTAATGCCTCTTCTCCGTGTTGCCACATCAACAAAGCCATTTGTTGCCGCTTCGTTAACACGGCCCAAATAAGCAACTCGTTAAAAGGATAATCAAAGAGAGGGGTATCACGATTAGCCGGTAAAGTCTCGGCAAGTAAACTCATGGTCAAATTGTCAGACTTTCCATAACGCGTATTACAGTTCGGAGCACAGCTGTTTCGATGCATATGCTGCTGATGGCCACCGCCAGATCTCTTCATCACCTTCGTATAAATCATGCGGAATCTTCGCCGTGTATACTGTGCGCGATATGCTCCACCCATTAACTTGTTAATTACGAGACCAATGTCATGCAGTGTATACATGTAACCCCGTGGGATATTCGGCCGTACATCACGCAAGATGTAACCCAATGTATTTGATGGGCCTTCTTTCTAATTAATTAAAACAAAAAAAAAAACGAAATATATAATATATAAATGCTCCACGTATGTTAAAAAATTATAGTAATTCAATTTTTCATTAACTAAAAGGACTTCTCCAAAACCAATTTGACTTTTCTTGAAATATATTGTTATTAAATAAAAATCTTAATACTAATTGTAAAATATATAAAAAAATTATGAAAGTTTTGTCTAAAACATTTTTAAATATACCTTATCATTTCAACGATAATTGTTTAGAATCAAATATACGCATAATTATTTTTGAAAGATTATTTTAGCCTTTAAACTTCAAAATAGACACGTATAAAAAAATCCGTGTCTCTTAAATTTTTGTGTTTAACAATATATTTCAAGGAGAATTAAAGATTCTAGACAGCATATGATTTTTCAATAATTTCCTTCAAGGCCTTCATACGCACACATACACATATAAATAAATATGAAAAAATATATAAATTTATAATAATTAAAAACTAACATTATTTATTATATCAAGCGACATACTTCATAGTCAGATCCATCTTTAAATTGTTTACTAAGAAAAATGTCGCTACAAAAATAAAACTACCGTATTATATAGCTCCTCAAGACGAGGTATTGATAAAAATTTCCGCATGGATACTCCATTTTCCAGTAGAAGTTTCACAAAGTCTATTCTGTCGTGCTGAAGTGCTTGCATCATAGCTTGTTCTAAAGCACCGGGTGGCCATTTTTGACCATAGACAAAGATTTCACTTCGAGCAATATCCACGCGATTCCATATTAAAGAAAGGGATAATTGTTCAGCTGGAGATAATTGTTTCGATTTAAATAAAGCTGTCAGTATTGTTTGATCGAGCTCTTGCGGCCTATCTTGCGATATTCTAAACACAGTGATCTATAAAAATATAATTTTCACTTAAAATTAGAGAATTTTCAGTCTAACATGAGATATAAAGCTAAATTTTATTTTTAGAAAATGTTGATACCAAATGTTTTTTTCGTGTACACTGCAAAAGTTCTGAACATAGCTGACTTGCTTGTTCGGCAGAAACTTGAAAAGTACGTTTAATAGTTTCTAAAACTTGTTCCTTAACTCCCTCCAATGGTCCTTCTCCATCACCAGTTTGTCCATCTCTCCATCTATGTAAAAAGTATACTTTTTAAATATATATGATCATATATCATTTAAAAATATGTATAACATGCGAGCTCATTACCTGTGCATAAAAGCAATTAAATCAGCTGCGCGTCCTGAACCATCGCAAACTACTACGGGTACAGGTGGATCATCCGTCACATACTCTAAAACCGCACGGATTGTATTCGTTCCACCTTCGATAACTAATGCAACTACTGGTATGCTACTGTGTGTATCTAAAAGCATCAATAAATTAGAGCTCCTCGAATTATAAAATTTTAATTCATATAAATCACTTACATGGTTGCAATTTCAGATTTGAAATATATTTTTCTAATCTTCTGCGGAGAACAATTTCTGCACCATATCGACCACCAGTACCATTATCTACTAGTAAAAAGTAAGCATGTCGATTGTTTAATACTGTATATTTAGTCCTGCAAATATAAAGAAATTATGAAAAAAATCATACAAATACACTTTACAAAATCCCATCAATAATATCTTTACATTGTAAATCTTACCATGGTGAAGAAACACAATCATATGATACTTCTCCACCGCGACCAATTAATTCGTGACTTTTATCCAAAATTCCCCAAGGAGCAATACCTATGCTTACTACGCGACCTTGTCGTTGAGAACGTTCTAACAATAATGCATCACCGACTTGTCGTGTAACACCTACAAGAAATTAACACATTAAAAAATTGAAATTATCAAAACTATTACTAGATATAATTTTCATGAATAGAAATGAACCTGTGTTTGTTCCCCCTGTAAAGATCCACGCTCCTGTTGTTTTAGCGGCTTTCAATAAGCCTTTACGTAAAACTTTCTTCAAGTTCGGTTGGAGCTCGAAATTTGATCGACCACCATGTACTGTAATTAATAATTTGGGCAATCCTAAATTCCATTCTCGACATAATAGCTGTACAATCGGTTCCGGTCGTGTATCATGAGCTAATCTTACATACTACAAGAAATATATGCAATATCAATTCCCCACTTATGATATAATAATTATAATTATAAAAACGTTATCATAATATTAATAATATAAAAAGCATTGAATATATACTTGTGCTTTTGTAGGATGCGGACCACCCTGAAATTCTATGGTACCATATGCATCAGTGGGAAAGGGACGAGTATTTTTTCCCGGAGACCATTGCTCATAATCTTTTTCCCTATTTTCACTAAGATTGTAACTTTGCACATCAGCCCCAGTTCCGCAATGATGAGTATATGAATAGCCACAGCAACATCTATAACAATAAAACAAATTATATTATGTATGAAAACATTTATTATATCTTTATTTTATTATATCTTTATTTTTTTTTCACTTGAAGTTTAATATTTTACTTAAGTTTATTATTTAAACATATACGTAATAAGTAATTTATTATTTAAGTTTAATATCTTATTTATAAACATGTGCGTATAATGTGTGTGTGTGTGTGTGTGTGTGTGTGTGTGTGTGTGTGTGTGTGTGTGTGTGTGTGTGTGTGTAAGCATGCGCACGCGCGCCGTATGCAATAATACAATACAATATTGATTTTAAAGGCATTATTTATATTTATTTATGCATAAATAATTTATTTTCCTGAGTATGAATAAATCCTTTTTTAAATTGATATAACATTAATATTTTAAATTAAATAATGCTTCTAAAATCAATTTTATATTGTATTATTCCAACGTCTTTAAAATTGCGTTTCAAGTTCGATAATAGTTGGTAGTTTGTAAAATTATGGAATGAATTTAAAAATTTACATAAAAATATTATTAGGCAATATTACTACGATATTATTAGCTATCACGATCCAACGTATAGGATGCTTCTCGATTATAATTTGGTTTGTTGTGTATTCTATATATTAAAAACGCTATAAATTAAATTTAAAAAAAAGTACTAAGTATTTAAATAATTCATTGCTTATACGTATTAATTATGAGTAAGAATTGTGTACATCGATTCACTCTCTTTATAAATTTTAATGTCATACACATGTGTTTGGATATAAATGCATCAGGGATAAATAGATATTTTAACATGTTTCATCCCAAGATTTCATTACGCTGCTAAATTTCTAAATCTAAATGTATGTTGTTTTTAATAATAGAGGTTCTAAATTTCTAAAATTCAGGTCAACAAAAATAAATGACTATTGAAAAAAAATGCCATTATAACGAAAAAATATGATTAAAGAAAAATATACTGAATGAAATATATAAATTTTAATTATCTTATTAAAATTGTTCTGACCATTTTAATTTAACTTCATAATTTGAAGTAAAAAATATATTTAATAAAATATGTATCTTAATTGCAACAAAGTTTAATTAAAGTGAATTAAATTTCATATTAAACTATATGAAAATTAAAACAGAAAATAAACTTGACATTGTAAAATGTCCAATTTTTTTCTACATTTAAAAAAAGAATAATTACATTTCTTTTAACTTAATGAATGATGCATGGCCTAGTATATAATTTGCAATAAGACTAATAAGAAAATCAGTATTTGATTGTAAATATTAGCTAGACTATTTAACAAATTATAACAATTGTTTCAAATACAAATTTTTTAAAAGAAAATTGAACAAAGTTCAAAATTCCAGACTATTTTATATTTTTCCTTGATTTTTCCAGGTTTTCCATGATTAATTTAAATTTCAATGATTTTTCTCAATTTTCCAGATTGATGGCAACTCTGTGCCGATATTCATTATACATAATGCATGTACAAATAGATTAGATATAAAAGCAAGAATAATTTTTTAATAAAAATATCATATGATATCTTGTTGATAAAGTGCTGAGAGAGCCCTCATGAAGCATCTTTACCACTTGACACACATTATGCCTAAGTGCGCGAAATATTAGTTTTGTGATTAGTGATTAGAACTTTAATCACTATTAATTTAATCATTATTAATTCATTTTTTAGTTAAAAACTATTATAGCCTTGACATTTTTATATTAGAGTTTCATCTCTAAATTACCTCAAGAATACAATGATATCCCTCTCTATTATACACCTTTTATTTGGAATGTTCTTTAATAAAATTGCATATTTTCGAATATTTTATCCTTAAGATTGAAATTAATCACCCTGTATATACAGAGTGTGTCATCTTAATTGATATATCAGAGACTTCTTCCTATTTCCATATACCAAGAATAAAATGTGTGGTTTGAAGTTTAACAGGATGTAACGATGGAGGCGTTCGAAAATCTGATGTTTGAGGTGCCTACAGAAAGATGGACAAAATGCTTTGACGATTGGTTTCATGGAATAAAACAGTGCATTCGTTGCAAAGGAGAGAATTTTTTAAAATAAGCCAATTTAAAAATTATATTTTTGTATGATTTTGCGGAATTTTTCGGAGCAACTTACGTACATACATATATGTACATGTATATATATATATATATATATA